GGGGGGGAACTGCCGGCAGCCGCGGCCGTACTGCCTGTCTGAGCCCCGAGGGGTCGCGACACCATCGTGTGAAGTGCCGCAGAGCTATAATGCGCGGCGTCCCGTCCATCGGAACACCGGGAAATCCTTAACGATATCGCCGTAAAAAGGATAGCCTTAAGCTACGGCTTAGAAAAAGCACGTAGGGGGTAAAAGCCAAACAGATCTCGTGTGCGCCCTTGTCCTTGGGTAGCAGAAAATCCGGCTCTTAACGTTAAGCGGGGATGGAATAATGAGGTGTAGACGTAGGGGTGGGAAACATGACATGGAGATGGAGTAATAAGGTGTAGACGTAAGGGTGGGAAAACCCTGCCAGGGAGGGTGGGATTTGGGAAATGGTGCCGCCTTGGCTGAGGCTGGAGATGGAGCTGTTCGTTTTCTCTGTCTGCCGGAGCAAAATTAAGTTAACAGGATTGGAGAAATTCCTTGCAAGGTGTTACTGCTAGACATGGGAGAATTAAGAATTTTATGCTGTCAATATTGGTGCTTCCAACAGGATACAATCAACAAATTGGAGAACGAGCTGAGAACCACGAAGAGTGAAATGGCTCGGTACTTGAAGGAATATCAGGATCTGCTCAATGTGAAGATGGCTCTGGACATCGAAATTGCAGCATATAGGTATGATGGGGGTAATGTTTTAATAAGTCAGAACTTGGCTCAGGTTCCCATTCTCTCTTCAAGAGAATTCATTTTATCATTCCCCCAACAGAAGTTTTCATAGATAGATGTCAGAGTTTAATCAGGTCGAGGAGATCGTTGTCTTTTTATTGGAAGGAGCAGTGCTTTTGAGGTAAAATATTTGCTTTAAGCAAAACCTTCGATGTGTGGCAAATGTCTGTGAGTATAATAGTATGTATGTATATGCATATGGAACTCTGCTCAGCAATGTGGTCTCAGTTCTTCATCTTCATAGGTAAAAATATCAGTTCAGTACTTAGAGTGAAGAGGTTTTGGATCAGTGGAACTTTGTAGCACAGATGGCTGTGTTCTCAAAATTGGAAATCCCTTACATGCTTTTAAGAACAGACTTTGTTTCTAACTCACAGAAGCAATCTCCTGGAAAGTAATTATTTTACAGCAGAATTGCTGCTAAATAGGTGCTTAATGTTTTGTACAAGATACTGTGAGAATTTGTAAATGCTGTAACAGAGTTTCTGTGGATGCCACAAGGGGGAATATTGAGAAGGTGGCTGTAAACCTTATCCAATAGCTACACGTAACCTCAGACTGTTACATCTGCATTGTTCTCTGCAACCCCACAGGCTACCAAAACACACCTCTAACTTCACCGGCTATAGGAGCCAATCCTAGAGGGGTTTTCCCCATTGTTTCTCCTGACAAGGAAAAGTATTAATTCACCAGTAATGTACACCTCTGAAATTTTTAAGTCATGCCAAGAAGATAGGGTAGCATTGCCATGTAGTTACTCGTTATGGGCTAGATTCTGCACTCTGAAGTCTGCCGCTCAAAGCGTCATAGCGTCGTAGTCCATAGCTGAATCTTGCTGGATACTGCTGCAGCATAACCAAGTCATTTCTGTTTGCCTTTTTTCTGCTAGGAAACTGCTGGAAGGTGAAGAGACCCGACTCAGTTTCACTAGTGTTGGAAGCATCACCAGTGGCTACACCCAGACTGCCCCGACTTTTGGCAGGTCTGCCTACAGTGGTCTCCAGTCCAGCTCCTACTTGATGACAACCCGTTCCTTCCCCACCTACTACTCCAGTCATGTCCAGGAAGAACAGATTGAAATAGAGGAAACAATTGAGGCCGCTAAAGCGGGAGAAGCCAAGGCAGCCCCTGCAGAAGAAGGTGAGGAGGAGGAGAAAGAGGAAGGTGAGGAAGAAGCGGGAGGTGAAGAGGCTGAAGAAGAGGAGGAAGGTACTTCTAGTTACTTTCAAATCCTTCTCTTTCATGCTTCATCCTGCTCATGTGGGGCAAAACCCAGAAATCCTCGTGACTAAGTCTAATGATTAGACCTCTCATTGTCTGCTCGCATGAGCAAAGGACATTGAGATTAAGCCCACAGCATTTAATCAGGAAAGCCTGAATATTGCATGGAAGATAAGGTGAACGTTCAATATCAGGCAGATTATAGAACTGATCATACTCCCTTGAAAATCGCTGGGTGTTTTTTTCCATTCAAGTTCCCAAAACCAGAATGATAATATTTTAACTGAGTGTCGTTGTATTCAAATGGCAGCAAGGAGTACTTAGCTGTTACAGACATCCTCAAAAATAAGGAGCAAGGACATCATGAGCTAAATACTAATTCCCAGAGAGTAGCCTGTGATAATAGGAACGTCAGCTGATGTCTGTGGATGTGACTGTTGGGTTCAGTGGTTAGCAATATCTATTGCCTGAAGTCTAGTTTCTTGTTCAACCAAAGTGTATGCCACTTCCTTGCTGCCCCGTAATTGATTTACCAAACTTACATTTTAAAGAAAATGTAAAAGGAATATTACCTAGAGTTGCTTTTCCCACGTTCAGTTGCATAGATCTGAAAGATTTAACCTAAACGTATCTGAAAGGCACTGGATATGATTGAACTATTCTAGGGCTTCGTTGGTGCAATGATTAATGATAATGAAATGATAGCTAAGGCGCCAATGGCAGAGCAATGGCAAGATTCCTTTCTTTGGATACGGCTTAAAGCAATGTGTCCACAGTCAATTACTGTTTTTCAAGGCAGTGATTTTGAAAAGACCTATAAAGTGTTTAACTCCCTCTGAAATCTAGAAGTTAGTTGTGTAGTTTTGTTGGTCTCCCTTGCCAGTCCTAGATAACTGTCCCTGCTGTCATGCAAAACCATTTGCCAGTCCCATCGTGGTTAGGTGGCTGCCAGCCCAATGCGTGGGGTTGATGGATGCAGGTGTGCTGGCTCCTGTTAAACTGGGAGGAGGAGCCGTACATAAGTGCGAAATGTTTCTTTTTGTTTTTCAAAGGCGCTAAGGAAGAATCTGAAGAAGCCAAAGAGGGTGAGGAAGAGGAAGGAGAAGGGGAAGAAACAGCAGCTGAAGAAGGCGAGGAGTCTCAGGAAACTGCTGAGGAAACTGGTGAGGAGGAGAAAGAAGAGAAAGAAGCAGCAGGAAAGGAAGAGAGTGAAGTGAAGAAGAAGGCTTGATTTTTAGGCAGTTTAGCTATCTCATCAGGTCCACAGAATAAATGATGATTGACTGAGCTAAAATTGCAGTTTCACATATTTAATTCAGTGACCACTGAGGTTTAAAGTTAATGATCTATGACGTTTCTCTCTGTGCAGAGTATCAGTATGCTTGCAGAGCACCCACTGGCTTGCTCCCTGAATGCCGCATGGTCTACACGTATGAATTCAGGGGTTATGTCTTTCTTGGGTGAATCAGAACATTAAAACTTAAAAAGGGGGAAAAAATAAGTAATGGGAATGAAAGTTATCTTTAACTTGCATTTAAAATAATTATGGAAACCTTGGGTGGGTAAATAATGGAGGCTTCAATAAGTATGTGCAATAAAGCTAGTCAATAAAGTTACAGAAATGCTTACACAGATTCCTTGTACGTGTTTTGTGTCACTAATGCACTTAAAAGGTTGATAAAGGGGTGTATCACACTCATCTTTCATGCCTGCATAATGGGATATGGGATACCGATTTCGTCTAGCTGATACGCTTGGGGGACTAAAAGGTGGACAAAATTTCTTGATGGGGCTGTAAAATTTCACTTGGAAATCTTACAATGGTAAAAACACACTGTGGGTGAATGTGCTGTTAGCTTTGTGATGGGTCTCACTGGGCTGTTGTACACGCACAAGCTGCCTTTTGGAAAAAAAAAAAAGAAATTTTAACAAACCAATGCAGAAGCAAAATGCAAACATGGCTGTTAAACATCGGTAGGAAGTTGTTCTGGGTCTGACAGTTTAGTGATGAAAGGGAGGAATGACTGCGGATGCAGCTGAGACTTGAAGTATATTAAAAAGAAAAAAAACCCAGTGAGGCGGTAGAGGGAAGGACAATGCGGGGGGAGTTCTCTCTGCTGCTTGAGGGGGAGCTGCCTTCCTCAGGTGCTGTCTTCAGTCAGTCCACTACGGACTGAAGAGGCTCATCCTCCACCGAGTGGGCATCTGGGCCTTCTAAAGTTTTGAGTATGAGCCAGACAAGGTCTAATCTGTGATCAGGCACAAAAAGCAGCAGAGCCTGACCATTCTGAAAGCAGCAACGATGTCCTGTAGCCTGAGAGTATTTATTTTCAATTAGCTAAAGTTGATGCATATAATTAAACCTTGTGCTAAGGGCAAGTACTAGACTAATGCTGCAAATGAAACCATTTTAAATAAACCAACCCTGTGGAAGCCCACGTTAAAACAGGCACGGCATGGCTGCACTAAAACTGTTGCCAGTGACATTTAGCTAGATGGATTTTTGCATAGGATTTTGGGGTAACTTAATTTTGTACACTAACTTTATGCTATCAGTTGATTTGCATGGGCTCTCCTCGATGGCTATGTTTGGAGAGAAAGGAAGTGTCTTTTTATACAAATTCCAGGGGTGTTCCAAAAGCATCTCCCTTTTCAGTGTTGAAAAAGTTATAAAGAAGAAAATGATGGATGAGGTAAGCACTTAAAACAATTCTTTCCTTCTGTGTTATCAGGAAAAACAGCAGGAGAAAGAAAAAGAAGCTTTGATAAAACTGTTCAGGGAACAGAGCTTGTATGCATATGTAATAATTCCAGTAACTCCTGTTCAGGGAGTTCCAGTGTCCAAATACTTCAATGTTTTTTCCCTCTTCTTGGCATTTTTGATGCTTTCAAGAACTGGAAGGCAAACAAGTAAATTAATTTTCTCTTTCTTCAACAACATCTCTTTTAAGTCTTTCTTTTCATGTTTCCCTTCTGCTTTTCATGGAGATTTTTCTATGTGTGTTTGTGCAGACTCATTCTTACAAAGCAGATTTTGTTTTTGTTTTCCATCCCCAGGAAAGCAGCGGTGAGCAGTGGGGGGTACTTGCAGTATTGGGGGCAAGAGATCCGACCACACTGTTTGCTCAGCGCTTTTAAAAGCTATTGACCGGAGGTGTGCTCCTCCTGGTATGCGATACCCTCGTTCAAACACCGCAGAGTACTTCGTCTAAGATATGGCACTTGAAAATTCGCCTAAGTGCTCTGTCAGAAAATGCTTAGCCTGGCACTTCAGATGGGAAAGAGGTTCTGCTCCTGCAGAGCAAAAAACATGATCAGAACTCCACACAACCATTAAATCCAAACCACTGTTGAAGAGATTGGCATATATTAGAGCCACTGCCCCATCCTGCCTTTCTCCAAGCACTCTGAGCTCCCTTTAACTTTTCAATACCTGATTTTGCCTACTCTTTCGTGTCTTATTTTTGCAGATAAATTCATCCTTCCTTCAGTCTCTCGTATCCCTTTCACTTCTGGGAAGCAATACGGCTCTCCGAATCTTTGCACCCAGGCTGCTAGGGATGTGCTCAAACCAGCACGTTTAGAGATACGCCAGCAAACACATTGCTCCTTGCAGTGTATCGCAGTCCGATCCCCACTCCTTATGTTATTTTTAATGTATTGCAGCTAGAGGAGAGATTTCACGACTCTGCAGGGAACGTGTGAGTCACAGCCACGGCAATGAGCTGCGGAGTGCCAAGCTGCAGCGACCGTCCAGCCTGGTTTGTTACCCCCCATCCTGCCTCGCTGCTGAGGTAAACTGGTGGGAAGGAGGATGGAGGCGTGCGTTTGCGTGCCGAGATGCTCTCAGGGTTGTGGGGATCCTGCTGGCAACGCTTGTTTTACCTCTGCAAATCCAGGAGCTGGCTTTGACGCAGTGCAGTAAAAGCATGCAGAGGGAGACACGATAGAAACTTTAACCCAAGTCGCAGCTGCAAGTCAAGCCGAGAGTCTGTCCCTGAATTTTCTCGTGCTGTTTGGGCAGACGGGATGTGGATCAGGCCAAGATCCCATCACAGGGAAGACAAATCCGAGGAGGTCCCAAATGCTTTTCTCGAGATACACATATACACTCACTCCCCTTCCACTCAGCGAGAGGAAAACTGGTACAGGTATAATATCCAGATTCTAGGAATTTGCCTTCTAGTAACTAAATAACTGACAATCCATCATTTATTGCCTTCCTAGATTAGTTAAGGGTAGTTTAATGCGGAACAGGGAAGGAAGGAAGCCCACATGTCAATGGGAAAAGCACAGACCCTGATGCCTGGAGAAAATTCTAGTGCCTGACTCAGCTCCCTGGCAAACACAAACTATTTGTGTTCTGTACCGCTTCACAGTTTGTTTCCACCTGGAATTTAGTTCTGGGATGCTGAAAATCTCTTAATTGTAGCTCCTCCACAAGCCGGTATGGTAAAAAGATTCTGTTTTAGAGTCCTCCAGCTCCTCAAGTCACAGTGGTCTTGGTGGTCTACCTTAAAAAAGATGCATAAATCTTCACAGTAACTTCCTTTAATTATTGTTTTTCCCTTCACGGAATCTTTTGTATTGATCAATGAGCTTCTGTGACTGAAAGTAATTAATCCCTTCACTGGCTGTTCACAGTCTGAAGAAGTAATTGGTGCAGAACAGGCAAATAACATACTATTTATGCATCTCTGCCCTGGAATTATGCTATCTTTTGAAACCGTTTGATTGCAGATGTCAGTAGACAAAACCTCTTGGCAACATGAAATATTAATCGGTTCTTATAGTTTTATAAATATTTAGAAATGTGTTAACCAGTTGGTTATTTCTCTTAGGATTTGATGGAAACATTTGCAGTGGGAAATAGACTAAACTCACAAATTTATTTTGTGTGTTAGAGCAGAGAAAAAAAAAAAGAGGCAGTTCTGGGTAATAACTAAAGGCTGAAATATCTTTTGGGTGGAAAAGGGGGGGAAATGAGCCTATTTTGAAATACAGCGTGCCAGTGGGCAGCCCGGGAGTTTGCGTCCCACGAAGGCTGTGCAGTGACTTCCCAAAAGTGTTCGGGAAAGCAGAGGTGCCCTGGGCAGGAGGGTTGGTACAGCCCCGTCGCACGAGGAGCTGCGGTCCCGGTGGGGCTGCCGGCGTGCCAGCAGGATCAAAACAAGGCAAAAAATAACCTCAAGGTCCTTGTACCTGTATCCTGCCAGAACTGAAAAGAAAGCATAACATGAAAAATAGCAAGCCAGCTTGGGATCCCACCTGCACCTGTGTAAGCCCACGCTAACGGTGTTCTTGAGTCTCCCACTGACATCAACATTTAATTCGCTGTACAAGGTGACCCTTCTTGGTCTGGACGCTGAAGATGCCCGACTTTCTATGCCGAGGGGTGGTAGCCAACCGGCTTCACTGTTTCTGACATTTTAGCAGATTATGGAGCTTATTTGGAAGGATGTAAAGAGAAAGGTTTATGTTAAATATTAGTCTCTGGTTTAGATTTTGGTGTTACTGTTATTGTTCTCTTGAAAATTTTGATTAGACCCAAGAGAAAAATAGCTTCAGTGCTCACAAACCATTGGGTATTTCTATGTTTTAACATAACTTGGTGCGACTGCTTACTGACAATAGCTGAGTGTGACTGAGCTACTTAACTTCTTATTCATAAAGATATAGGTATTTTTATGTCACATACACATGTAACTTTAACGAATAAGCTCGCTGCAGAGAAGCTGCCATTTAATTTGCTAACTCTGCTTTAATTAAACGTCACTCAACCAGCAAGCTGTTGAGCACAGATTTCCATTATTGATATCAGCAGGAGAAACATTCATTACTTTGCTACACAAAGACATTCAGATTTATTTGAAAGCCTTATCTGCTGTGGACTTTTAACAATTTCTCCAGTGAAGAACATGCAGAAGAACCCTTTCAATTAAAAACTACTTGATCTTCAATTATTGATAGGGGAAAGGATTGGAAGGCATGTGCAAATCATAAAGCTTTTGATCAGACCCTCAATTAGTCAACAGATTTCAGGACAGTCCATGTACTGAACTCAGGCTTCAAAATTATTTGCATTTCTTTGCTAGTTATGGTAGATAAGGCAGGAGCAGCGTTCTTTGTTTTCCTTTTGAAACACGTTAGAAATAAATAGAATATTAATCCCACAATAAGACATATTCATTCCCCAAATTGGAGTTGGGGCCCTCCTTTTCCCTTTGTTTCATTTGTCTCCATTTATTTTCCATGGAGTGGGATTTTAGAGGGCCTTTTAATTGGATTTCTTCTTAATAAAGCCAACCTGCAAGTTGCAGGAGACACAGGCCGATGCTTAGGGGACTTTTCTATTGGAAATGGGAAAATGCTTTAGTTTGGTTTTAGCTGTCAGTCCCACTAGGCAGGATCAGAGCCCTACCCAGCCTCAGGTCAGAGTCTGGAAGAGTCTCATTTCTACAGCTTTTTTCAAATGGACAAATATGTAAAGAACAAATTAGGAATATTTTTGTTACTTGATAACAGAGTAGTTTCTGGGACAGTTTCCTTTCTCCAGGAATTCATTTGCTCTCAATTTTGGAATTTTGTGTTTAGAGGCAGATTTGGCCCATTTGAGACAGAGAATTGATAAGGG